TAACATTTTTGACTGCAAATCTACCAGAACTTCACAGAAATTGCTCAAACTGACAAAGCAATTTGTACAAATGATCTTAAATAAATAAAACATTACAAAAAATTTGTTTAACATGATTTTAAAGATACAGCGAATTTATGATGCAACCTAGTGCAAATGTAGCTACTATTTAACATTTTTGACTGCAAATCTACCAGAACTTCACAGAAATTGCTCAAACTGACAAAGCAATTTGTGCAAATGATCTCAAATCAATAAAACATGACAAAAATTTGTTTAACATTATTTCAAAGATACAGCGAATTTATGATGCAATTTAGAACAAAAGTAGCTACTATTTAACATTTTCGACTGCAAATCTGCCAGAACTTCACAGAATTTGCTCAAAGTGACAAAGCAATTTGTGCAAATGATCTCAAATCAATAAAACATGACAAAAATTTGTTTAACATTATTTCAAAGATACAGCGAATTTATGATGCAATTTAGAACAAAAGTAGCTACTATTTAACATTTTCGACTGCAAATCTACCAGAACTTCACAGAAATTGCTCAAACTGACAAAGCAATTTGTGCAAATGATCTTAAATCAATAAAACATGACAAAAAATTTGTTTGACATGATTTCAAAGATACAATGAATTTATGATGCAACCTAGTGCAAAAGTAGCTACTATTTAATATTTTTGACTGCAAATCTACCAGAACTTCACAGAAATCGCTCAAACTGACAAAGCAATTTGTGCAAATGATCTTAAATCAATAAAACATTACAAAAAATTTGTTTAACATGATTTCAAAGATACAGCGAATTTATGATGCAACCTAGTGCAAAAGTAGCTACTATTTAACATTTTTGACTGCAAATCTACCAGAACTTCACAGAAGTTGCTCAAATTGACAAAGCAATTTGTGTGAATGTTCTAAAATCAATAAAACATGACAAAAAATTTGTTTAACATGATTTCAAAGATACAGCGAATTTATGATGCAACCTAGTGCAAAAGTAGCTACTATTTAACATTTTTGACTGCAAATCTACCAGAACTTCACAAAAATTGCTCAAACTGACAAAGCAATTTGTGTGAATGTTCTTAAATCAATAAAACATGACAAAAAATTTGTTTAACATGATTTTAAAGATGCAGCGAATTTATTATGCAACCAAGTGCAAAAGTAGCTACTATTTAATATTTTTGACTGCAAATCTACCAGAACTTCACAAAAATTGCTCAAACTGACAAAGCAATTTGTGTGAATGTTCTTAAATCAATAAAACATGACAAAAAATTTGTTTAACATGATTTTAAAGATACAGCGAATTTATGATGCAACCAAGTGCAAAAGTAGCTACTATTTAACATTTTTGACTGCAAATCTACCAGAACTTCACAGAAATTGCTCAAACTGACAAAGCAATTTGTGCAAATGATCTTGAATCAATAAAACATGACAAAAAATTTGTTTAACATTATTTCAAAGATGCAGCGAATTTATTATGCAACCAAGTGCAATAGTAGCTACTATTTAACATTTTTGACTGCAAATCTACCAGAACTTCACAGAAATTGCTCAAACTGACAAAGCAATTTGTGTGAATGTTCTTAAATCAATAAAACATGACAAAAAATTTGTTTAGCATGATTTTAAAGATACAGTGAATTAATGATGCAACCTAGTGCAAATGTAGCTACTATTTAACATTTTTGACTGCAAATCTACCAGAACTTCACAGAAATTGCTCAAACTGACAAAGCAATTTGTGAAAATGATCTTGAATCAATAAAACATGACAAAAAATTTGTTTAACATTATTTCAAAGATGCAGCGAATTTATGATGGAATCAAGTGCAAAAGTAGCTACTATTTAACATTTTTGACTGCAAATCTACCAGAACTTCACAGAAATTGCTCAAACTGACAAAGCAATTTGTGAAAATGATCTTGAATCAATAAAACATGACAAAAAATTTGTTTAACATTATTTCAAAGATGCAGCGAATTTATGATGCAACCAAGTACAAAAGTAGCTACTATTTAACATTTTTGACTGCAAATCTACCAAAACTTCACAGAAATTGCTCAAACTGACAAAGCAATTTGTACAAATGATCTTAAATCAATAAAACATGACAAAAAATTTGTTTAACATTATTTCAATGATACAATGAATTTATGATGCAACCTAGTGCAAATGTAGCTACTATTTAACATTTTTGACTGCAAATCTACCAGAACTTCACAGAAATTGCTCAAAGTGACAAAGCAATTTGTACAAATGATCTTAAATCAATAAAACATGACAAAAAATTTGTTTAACATGATTTCAATGATACAATGAATTTATGATGCAACCTAGTGCAAATGTAGCTACTATTTAACATTTTTGACTGCAAATCTACCAAAACTTCACAGAAATTGCTCAAACTGACAAAGCAATTTGTACAAATGATCTTAAATCAATAAAACATGACAAAAAATTTGTTTAACATGATTTCAATGATACAATGAATTTATGATGCAACCTAGTGCAAATGTAGCTACTATTTAACATTTTTGACTGCAAATCTACCAAAACTTCACAGAAATTGCTCAAACTGACAAAGCAATTTGTACAAATGATCTTAAATCAATAAAACATGACAAAAAATTTGTTTAACATGATTTCAATGATACAATGAATTTATGATGCAACCTAGTGCAAAAGGAGCTACTATTTAACATTTTTGACTGCAAATCTACCAGAACTTCACAGAAATTGCTCAAACTGACAAAGCAATTTGTACAAATGATCTTAAATCAATAAAACATGACAAAAAATTTGTTTAACATGATTTCAAAGATACAATGAATTTATGATTCAATTTAGAACAAAAGTAGCTACTATTTAACATTTTCGACTGCAAATCTGCCAGAACTTCACAGAAATTGCTCAAAGTGACAAAGCAATTTGTGTGAATGTTCTTGAATCAATAAAACATGACAAAAAATTTGTTTAACATTATTTCAAAGATACAGTGAATTTATGATGCAATTTAGAACAAAAGTAGCTACTATTTAACATTTTTGACTGCAAATCTACCAGAACTTCACAGAATTTGCTCAAAGTGACAAAGCAATTTGTGCAAATGATCTCAAATCAATAAAACATGACAAAAATTTGTTTAACATTATTTCAAAGATACAGCGAATTTATGATGCAATTTAGAACAAAAGTAGCTACTATTTAACATTTTCGACTGCAAATCTGCCAGAACTTCACAGAATTTGCTCAAAGTGACAAAGCAATTTGTGCAAATGATCTCAAATCAATAAAACATGACAAAAATTTGTTTATCATTATTTCAAAGATACAGCGAATTTATGATGCAATTTAAAACAAAAGTAGCTACTATTTAACATTTTCGACTGCAAATCTGCCAGAACTTCACAGAATTTGCTCAAAGTGACAAAGCAATTTGTGCAAATGATCTCAAATCAATAAAACATGACAAAAATTTGTTTAACATTATTTCAAAGATACAGTGAATTTATGATGCAATTTAGAACAAAAGTAGCTACTATTTAACATTTTCGACTGCAAATCTGCCAGAACTTCACAGAAATTGCTCAAAGTGACAAAGCAATTTGTGTGAATGTTCTTGAATCAATAAAACATGACAAAAAATTTGTTTAACATGATTTCAAAGATACAGTGAATTTATGATGCAATTTAGAACAAAAGTAGCTACTATTTAACATTTTCGACTGCAAATCTGCCAGAACTTCACAGAATTTGCTCAAAGTGACAAAGCAATTTGTGTGAATGTTCTTAAATCAATAAAACATGACAAAAAATTTGTTTAACATTATTTCAAAGATACAATGAATTTATGATGCAACCTAGTGCAAAAGTAGCTACTATTTAACATTTTCGACTGCAAATCTGCCAGAACTTCACAGAAATTGCTCAAAGTGACAAAGCAATTTGTGCAAATGATCTCAAATCAATAAAACATGACAAAAATTTGTTTAACATTATTTCAAAGATACAGCGAATTTATGATGCAACCTAGTGCAAATGTAGCTACTTTTTAACATTTTTGACTGCAAATCTACCAGAACTTCACAGAAATTGCTCAAAGTGACAAAGCAATTTGTGCAAATGATTTTAAATCAATAAAACATGGCAAAAAATTTGTTTAACATTATTTCAAAAATACAATGAATTTATGATGCAATTTAGAACAAAAGTAGCTACTATTTAACATTTTCGACTGCAAATCTGCCAGAACTTCACAGAAATTGCTCAAAGTGACAAAGCAATTTGTGTGAATGTTCTTGAATCAATAAAACATGACAAAAAATTTGTTTAACATGATTTTAAAGATACAGCGAATTTATGATGCAACCTAGTGCAAATGTAGCTACTTTTTAACATTTTTGACTGCAAATCTACCAGAACTTCACAGAAATTGCTCAAACTGACAAAGCAATTTGTGCAAATGATCTTGAATCAATAAAACATGACAAAAAATTTGTTTAACATGATTTCAAAGATACAGCGAATTTATGATGCAATTTAGTACAAAAGTAGCTACTATTTAACATTTTTGACAGCAAATCTACCAGAACTTCACAGAAATTGCTCAAACTGACAAAGCAATTTGTGCAAATGATCTTGAATCAATAAAACATGACAAAAATTTGATTAACATTATTTCAGATGCAGCAAATTTATGATGCAACCAAGTGCAAAAGTAGCTACTATTTAACATTTTTGACTGCAAATCTACCAGAACTTCACAGAAATTGCTCAAACTGACAAAGCAATTTGTGCAAATGATCTTGAATCAATAAAACATGACAAAAAATTTGTTTAACATGATTTCAAAGATACAGCGAATTTATGATGCAACCTAGTGCAAATGTAGCTACTATTTAATATTTTTGAATGCAAATCTACCAGAACTTCACAGAAATTGCTCAAACTGACAAAGCAATCCCGAGCGGCACACAATTTGTCATATGACAGCCGTCATCGTCATAAAGACGTCATGAATGACGATCATATGATCGTCATATGATGATAAGACTTCATCACGACGTCGTCTCGATTCGATTTATGACCTCATATGATGGTCATTTGACGAAAAATTCGTCACTTGACGATCAAATGAAAACGTCAATTGATGGTCATATGACGATCAAATGACAAAATTACTATGGCGAGACGACGAGCATAACCCGTGATATATATGCTGTATTTTGACTGAAATAATTTTTTAAAATTTAACGAAAAACGTGTTAATTTGTGAAGAATAACTCTAAATAATATTTATTTTAAATTATATACATAAGCCATTACATAAGCCATACAACATAACAATATAATGATTAATGATAATAACAATGGCTTGATAATAAACAAAGATTAATAATGATATACTATTTTCTTGATATTTTTGATTTTTTTACTCATTTTCTTGATTTTCCTCGACATTTAAACGATTTTGATTAGTCAACTTCAAATGCTTAGCTTGATTTTCTCTTCGTCGATGTAAATAAATTTTGACGGCTGTTGAAGCATCTTCCGATGAGCTGTAGGTTCCAGGTAAATGAGCTTCAACGATATCAAAGAACAAATCAAAATGCCCGATAGCATTTTTTATTGAAAATCGTCCTAAGAAAATGGATGAAACATAATGTTGATTTGGCAAAAAAATTAAACTTTTAATCAAACAACTCACCATTGGTTTCTTGCCAGGATATTTTGTCTATAAACTCGCTATCGAAATAAATTTCAATCAAAGATTTAATTATGCTGTTTTTTGGTGCAGCTGTTCCAACAGCACGAATTCTTTTCTTGTAGTAATCGACCATTGATGCTCTTTTCTTGACAAATTCTTTGTCCTTATTTGGCTCTTTAAGATAAGTACTAAGTTTCTTCTCCAACTCATTGAAAAACTTCTCATCACTTATTGGACAGATCGATCTTAATTCAGCGGTTGAGTTATGAACTGGTGGAGCTCCATGAGTGTTAACACCTTGAAAAGTTATTCGTTCTAAATGTTGCAATATTAAAGATTGATTCTTCATCATAGTACTGATGTTTTCTTCAATTTTTTGGAGCCGGCTTCCGATACTTTCATTATGATTCAATTTAGTCGATGACATAACATCCTCAAATTCCATAGAATCCATGTATTGATTGTTATCTTGATATTCTTCTAGTTCATTTCTTTGATTTTCATTTGCATACTGAAACTTAGCTTGCTCTTCATTGTTATCACTATCACTTGTTGAACTAGTCATGGAAATGAAACTGTTTTGAAATTCTTGATTAACAGGTTGAGATGCATCTGTTGTTTTTGGTCTAAATGTCTTTTGTGTGGTGAAACTGTTGCTCTTTGTAGTTTTCATATTTGAATTAGTCACATCTTTCAATGTGCTCGGCATTACTTTCTCTCTGCTCTGTTCACGTGTATCGACTTTATCGGCCCTCACTACTGTTTCTTTCAGAATTTTGGATTTTTTCTTGCCTTTTCCACTTTTTGCGTCAAATATTGAATTTAAATCATCCTCACTTGACGATATCTTACGTTTTTTTATAATTCTTTTTTCCTTCATCTTTTCGACTTCTGATGATGTGTCAGTATGATACACACGAGTTTTCATTGACGCAACAGCTAGTGGAAAATTTGCTGAAAATAAATTGTACCATACATTAATATTTATAATTTATCATTAGATATTATTAATTTTCTTACGTATTTCTGTCTTTAACACCATGATTTCTAATACATCCCAGGATGATGACGGTTCTTCCATATTTTTAACTAGCTTTTGATCATTTTTTATTTTTTTGTGGGGGTAAACAGTGAATGTTTTTTCATCTTCTTCGTACATCCATGTTGTTGGAACGACAAAAATGCCATTATTTTTTGATTGAACGACAGCAAACTGATGACAAAAACATAATTTAAAAAAATGAATGTATTAAATTGATTTGCAGCAATTGCTTCTAAAACTTACCATTTCTAAAATTGCTTATTCACACACTTTGATAACTCTTAAAAGCTTTTATAATAGATTGAATGAAATTTTTCTTCCTCTCACTTCGACTTCTCGAACGCAAATGAAGAAACAAAAATTTCACCCAAAAAATGGTAACTTTGATTACTAAAATATTTCTAAATTCTAAACGTATCATATGATGATTTTTTCAATGTCAAATTTTGCAATCATTTTGAAGATCATTTTTATGATAAGCATATTTATTTTTGCATTCAAAATCCGTTAGAAATCAGTGAGCATACATTAAATGAAAGCTCATTTACGAAATCTCCAAAGAATAATTCAACAAAAAATTTTGTTCTTAGCAATCATCGAAATACTATTTACAAAATAATTATCAGTTTTTACAGTGCAAAAACAGTTCATAGAAAAAGTTTAAGCAAAAAATACAATCGAAATGGGCAGAAAATCAAAACTATTATGGGAAATGAAGAAAAGTAGTTGGAGGAAAAAAATATGGCGTGTCAATGGCAGTGTCAAGAAATCCGAGTTAAAAAATAAAAATGGAAAAGAGAAATCAACACGTCGGTAATTTCAATTCAATGTTTGTCATATTTTAATTTCACTGTGAGTTCCTTTTTGATTAATTTTCAGAAACGTCTTTCTTCTGTTATCTCAAGAAGTGGAAGAAAATTCACAGAACATATCAATTAACGTACAAGAAGAGTGTAACAATGTTCTCTTCGAATCATCAAGCGGGAACATTTTGGATGTAAGGAGTGATGAAAGTAACTCAATGAAATGCGACCAAAATGATAATATACAGAATAATATCGACAATTATGACATGACAAAATACATAGAACAAGTTTTATGTCAAAATACGATTAAGTTCAATTTCAAAAGAACTGGATTAACAAATATTTTAAAAGATCTCAAAACAATTTTTCCTCTCATAAAGACTGACTATCGATCTATAATGAAAACTCCAAGAACAACTGTATTGAAATTCATTGGTCCAGGATATTATGTAAATTTTAATTGGGAAAATCAAATTAAATTAATATTATCCGAATGTTCTTCACTGGAAACCGTCAAAATTAAGCTTGACTGTTTCATAGATGGGGCCGCTTTTCAAACTGATGCCATCTGTAAATCATTCTGGATCATCCTCGGCAGAGTTTTGAATAAAATATTTGTCATTGGACTTTATAATGGAAGATCTCATCCAAAATCGTTTAATATATTTCTTTCTGATTTCGTCAGTAAATTCAAAAAACTATCATCAAGTAAAATAAATATAGGCGGCAAGGAATATCAAATTAAATTGGGGAACTTTCTTTTGGATACACCTGCAAAAGCATCAGTAAAATATGTAAAAGGAGCAACAGGCTATCATTCCTGTAATGAATGTTATGTACGTGGTTATCGTGCAGAAAATAGGATGACTTTTTGCAACTTAGATCGTGAGAAAAGAACGGATGAAACCTTCAGAGCAAGATTAGATATTGAACATCATATGGGTACTTCAATATTGGAATCAGAGTTTCACAATTTAGACATGGTTAAAAATTTCCCGCCAGACTATCTACACATTGTTTTATTAGGAGGATTAAGGAAGATGTTAAACTTTCTATTTATTCCACCTCATTCCCATTTGCCATTGAGAGTATCGCGGGAAATGACTGAAAAACTACAAGAAATTGATCCATTTATTCCCTCGGAATATCATAGACACATGAGATCAATATCGGAGTTGAATTTGTACCACGGACACGAGCTCCGATTTTTTCTTCTTAAAATAGGAATTGTGGCATTAAAAAATGTGATTCCGTCGGAATTTTATAAGAATTTCCTATTTCTACATGTGGGAATCACAATATTAACTGACAAAATTTTATCAAAAACACATCACGAAATTGCAAAAGTGATTCTCCGAAAGTTTGTTGAAACAGCAATGGAACTATATGGAACCATAATGCAAACATTAATAGTCCATACTATAAGCCATTTATCGGATGCCGTAAAATTTCAAGGTAATAAGAAATAATTTTAATTTTTGTTAATTATTAATTAATTTAACAATATAATTTTTCTTTATTTCTATGTTATCATAAAGGTATGCCATTAGACGAATTTTCCACTTTTCCCTTCGAATGCTTTTTAACAAATGTAAAAAAGCTAGTGCACTCGCCAAATAAACCTTTACAACAGATTCATAGACGTATTGCTGAACTACTTATGAGAAATGAATCAGATGAAAAAAAGAATTCCACCTTAGACAAATTCAAATTTGTTTCAAATCGTGATAATACTGTCATAAATGTAAGCTGGGATGGCAAAAAATTTTCAACAGTGGGTGTCAGAGATCGATACTTAATATTAAAAGATGGCAAAATTTGTGAAGTCGTTAAAATATTCAAGCAAAACGATATCCCAGTGTTTATTTGCAATGCATTCATTATTAAAGGTAATCTGTATAGCATACCTATTGAATCATCAAAATTGCACATTTTTGTTTGTAAAAATGAGTTAGGTATGTTTAACTTCAAAGTTGAATTCGAAAATATATTGTACAAAATGATAAGAATTCCATACGACGAAGATTATGTATTTATCCCCATTAAAAGTTAAGTAAAGTTTAAATGTGAAAAAATATTGTATTTGAAGAGATGATGTTAAATTTAAAATAAATAAAAAAAAAAAACAGAATTAAAAAATATATGGTTTTTAAAAATTAGTCATGCTTTTAATATTCAATACTGTTTATTTGACCTATGTAACATCATTCAAAAAATCAAAAATTATCGTCATTCATGACTTTCATTTGATCGTCATATGATCATCATAATATTTTAGAAAAAAAAAATCGTCGTACAATCATCATCGTCATGACGAAGATGCTCATATGACGATCATTTGATCGTCATCGTCAAATTGTGCCGCTCGGGAATTTGTGCAAATGATCTTAAATCAATAAAACATGACAAAAAATTTGTTTGACATGATTTCAAAGATACAATGAATTTATGATGCAACCTAGTGCAAAAGTAGCTACTATTTAATATTTTTGACTGCAAATCTACCAGAACTTCACAGAAATCGCTCAAACTGACAAAGCAATTTGTGCAAATGATCTTAAATCAATAAAACATGACAAAAAATTTGTTTAACATGATTTCAATGATACAATGAATTTATGATGCAACTTAGTGCAAATGTAGCTACTATTTAACATTTTTGACTGCAAATCTACCAAAACTTCACAGAAATTGCTCAAACTGACAAAGCAATTTGTACAAATGATCTTAAATCAATAAAACATGACAAAAAATTTGTTTAACATGATTTCAATGATACAATGAATTTATGATGCAACCTAGTGCAAATGTAGCTACTATTTAACATTTTTGACTGCAAATCTACCAAAACTTCACAGAAATTGCTCAAACTGACAAAGCAATTTGTACAAATGATCTTAAATCAATAAAACATGACAAAAAATTTGTTAAACATGATTTTAAAGATACAATGAATTTATGATGCAACCTAGTGCAAAAGGAGCTACTATTTAACATTTTTGACTGCAAATCTACCAGAACTTCACAGAAATTGCTCAAACTGACAAAGCAATTTGTGCAAATGATCTTGAATCAATAAAACATGACAAAAAATTTGTTTAACATTATTTCAAAGATGCAGCGAATTTATGATGCAACCAAGTGCAAAAGTAGCTACTATTTAACATTTTTGACTGCAAATCTACCAGAACTTCACAGAAATTGCTCAAACTGACAAAGCAATTTGTGCAAATGATCTTAAATCAATAAAACATGACAAAAATTTGTTTAACATTATTTCAAAGATACAGCGAATTTATGATGCAACCAAGTGCAAAAGTAGCTACTATTTAATATTTTTGACTGCAAATCTACCAGAACTTCACAGAAATTGCTCAAACTGACAAAGCAATTTGTGTGAATGTTCCTAAATAAATAAAACATGACAAAAAATTTGTTTAACATTATTTCAAAGAGACAGTGAATTTATGATGCAACCAAGTGCAAAAGTAGCTACTATTTAATATTTTTGACTTTAAATCTACCAGAACTTCACAGAAATTGCTCAAAGTGGCAAAGAAATTTGTGTGAATGTTCTTAAATCAATAAAACATGACAAAAATTTGTTTAACATTATTTTAAAGATACAGTGAATTTATGATGCAACCAAGTGCAAAAGTAGCTACTATTTAATATTTTTGACTTTAAATCTACCAGAACTTCACAGAAATTGCTCAAAGTGGCAAAGAAATTTGTGTGAATGTTCTTAAATCAATAAAACATGACAAAAAATTTGTTTAACATGATTTTAAAGATACAGTGAATTTATGATGCAACCAAGTGCAAAAGTAGCTACTATTTAATATTTTTGACTTTAAATCTACCAGAACTTCACAGAAATTGCTCAAAGTGACAAAGAAATTTGTGTGAATGTTCTTAAATCAATAAAACATGACAAAAAATTTGATTAAAATTATTTCAAAGATACAGTGAATTTATGATGCAACCAAGTGCAAAAGTAGCTACTATTTAATATTTTTGACTTTAAATCTACCAGAACTACACAGAAATTGCTCAAAGTGACAAAGAAATTTGTGTGAATGTTTATAAATCAATAAAACATGACAAAAAATTTGTTTAACATGATTTCAAAGATACAATGAATTTATGATGCAACCTAGTGCAAAAGTAGCTACTATTTAACATTTTTGACTGCAAATCTACCAGAACTTCACAGAAATTGCTCAAAGTGACAAAGCAATTTGTGCAAATGATCTTAAATCAATAAAACATGACAAAAAATTTGTTTAACATGATTTTAAAGATACAGTGAATTTATGATGCAATTTAGTACAAAAGTAGCTACTATTTAACATTTTTGACTGCAA